CAGAGTTAATGGAAGGGGAGAATATCAATAGGCCAGTTAATTGTGGTCATAATTTTAATTATGAATTGTCACTTTGATCTCTCTCTCTGTCTAAATATATATATATATATATATATATATATATATAGAGATAGATATAGATCGATCAGTGACAGCTCATCATGAAATTGACCACAGTGTGTGTGTGTGTGTGTGTGTGTGTGTGTGTGTGTGTGTGTGCGTGCGTGCGTGCGTGTGTGTGTGTGGTGGTCATAAAATTATGAAAATAAAATGAACAAAGTGACAGTTATTCTTTTGAACTTTCATCAAAGAATCCTGAAAAAAAAGTATATGACAGTTTCCACAAAAATATCCGGCATCACAACTCTTTTCACTATTGATAATAATCAGAAATGTTTCTTGAGCAGTATATTAGAATGATTTCTGAAGGATCGTGTGACACTGAAGAATGGGGTAATGATGCTGAAAATTCAGCTTTGATCACAGGAATAAATTACATTTTTAAATAAATTCAAATAAAAACGTTAGTTTAAATTGTAATAATATTTCACAATATTACTGTTTTTCTGTATTTTTGATGGTTTTAATCTGAAATTTTTAATAAAATTTTAATTGGATGGGGATGGTGAAGTTAAAACTGCATTACCACTGCACCAAGGCACTGCTATATGTTTGCTATGCCAAATGAGGGACTTTTGATGTAATAACCAAATGTAGATGTCTCGTCTTTTTTTCTGTCACAGAGGTTCTGAAAGTGGCCAGTGAGGTTGATCGAGGTCTCTTACAGCAGCAAACGGAGGCCGTGAGAGAGAAACAGCGCAGCCCTGAGTACTGCGATAAACTACTTCAGCACATTCACTCTTTATGAGACGCTCTTCCTCTCAAAAATACACAAACAGAGATGGCTGGGAGTGAACTTGAACTTGATACGCTTTCTTTACTGTGTTTTATGCAGATGTGAACAGACAAATTCACAAAATTTGTGAATGGATATTCTCACTGAACTAAAGGGTTTTTTGCCTTATCATTAGTGAAGTTTTATTATATTAAATAATATGTAATTAAAAAATATAGATTCTTAACCATCAACTCAAAGGCAGCACAAAATAACTTTCTTTGCTTGGTTATTTTGTTAATATTGTGTGTTTTGTATTGAATGACTTCACATATGACCATATTGTTCATGAAAACATTCACTAAGGTTGTTTTACAGATTTGAAAATGAATTTTCTTTAAAGTAATTGTTTGAAATGTGCCTTTCTATTTGAAACTGGTGTCTTTATTCACTGAATTCACATTGTTTATTAAATAAACTTGTTTATTTCATTGTTTCATTTCTTACCACAAATGTGTCAAGTGCTTCTTAAGTATACAAGGCAAGAGCAAATACATTCATAAACAACTGATATGATTCTAGTTATAAATAGTCAAGTATTATGATTAAAAAAAAAACGCACAAATTCAGTTGAAGTGCTAGTTGATCAAATACAATCTATTAACTTCTGGAGAAATGCCTGTACCCTTCATAGACATGTATTCTTATGCTACTATTTCACATTCTGTCAATATTACTGACATTTAGATATGAATTTATAGCATTAAAGCAGCATTAACTTTTCTCTTTGTCAATGCAGGCTTCTGTTATTTGGAAAACAGGTAGTCCCACATTTACAGAATTTGTAATAATTTCTACAAGGGTAATTTAGTATAACTGGATTATAATTAGTTTTGTAACCCATAAGAAACAAAATAATATCTAATTCTATATTCATATGCAGTATGTAGTGGAATAATGGGAAGAACTAGATATCAATGACATTTAATAGTCATCATTTAATGAGATGGCAGGCTAGCAGGGGAGTATTTTTAGAAGTATGATTAGCACAATATTATTTTTCATATTCCGTTCATAACTACATCAGGTCAACCCAGTGAATGCTGTTTCTTCAGCCTCTCAGAATGCTGAACTCTCTCCTCTGGAGTCTTCTTGTAACTGCTGAAACATAAAAAAAATTATTTGAATGTTTTCTAATACAATATTGCATTTAAAGTTAATTATATCTGAAAATTCAAATTATTCAATGTAAACTCAATGCAGTTTATTAGTTTGAGGTGTTGCACATGTAGAATGCGTTCCATAGAACATACAAGGTTTCATTTCCACACAGTGATTCTTTGCAATATAATACAGTGATGTCACACTTCACTTGACTAAATGACTACATGAGTTCCTGCCAAATGCAAAAGCAGCCAATTTGAAATGTCAGGTGACTCTTCTGGCTTCGTGGCATTTCCAGTATTGTAAGCGTCCAACACAGACGGAGTTGAATTTCAAATTCCATCAACAACAGCATAAAAGAAAATGGAAATGGCAGGAGCAGGAGATCGCGTGATCAAAGGCAGCAAAATGTGAAGAACTGACCCACGGCGCAGGAGCTGCTGGCCTGAAACGGGAGCGCTCTGGCCCTGACTGGGCTGCAGGATCCTTCAACACAACACGCAGACACAGGAATACTGATGGAAAACTGTATGCAACTATCAACTACATGGTGCAAAGTGAGTACTAAATGTGTGAAGTGTCTGTTTTTGCTTCTGTGAAGTGATTTCTTGCAACTCTTGGAGTGTTTTTGTGTTCACCTTTTTGTAGGAGGACTCTTGGTTTTCGGAGCTCTTCTGGTCTGACCTGGAGATTCACCAACTCTGATGAGATACAAGAGCATATAAATAAATAGCATTTTAGCATAGTATTAATAAACAGTAAATAAAAGAAATAATATTATAATAAGTAATATTATAATAGCAGTAGTTCTTTAAAAAAAATGTATTATATATACACACACATATACACATATATGTGTGTGTGTGTGTGTGTATATATATATATGTGTGTGTG